ACACCAAGCTGGATAAATGCCCAAAAAAGACACCTAGGAATATCATTTTCAAAGTACAGAAAATCAGAGCTAAAAACAAATCCTGAAAGAAGCTGGGCAGAGAGGGGAAGGAACACCTCATCTATAGAGAAACAAAGGTAAGAGTTATATTGAACTACTTCTCAGAAATCAAGCAAAAAGAGAGTACAGTAAGACATTTCAAGTGTTGATAAAACACCAACCTAAAATTCTGCATCCTGTAAAATTATTTTTCAAAAGCAAAGGAGAAATTGTGTTTCAGACAAACAAAAATTAATGGAATTAATTGCTAGTAGACCTGCTTTTCAAGAAATGTTGAAAGATGTTCTTAGGAAAAAGGAAAATGATGTAGGTCAGAAACTTGGATCTATATTTAAAATGAAAAAAAAAAGAAAAGAAAAGAAAAGGAGGACCATCAAAGAAGGAATAAGTAAAGGTAAAATAAAAACTTATTTTTTCTTTGAGACAGGGTCTCACTCTGTCGCCCAGCCTGGAGTGCAATGGTGCAATCTTGGCTCACTGCAACCTCCACCTGCTAGGCTCTCAAGCAATCCTCCTACCTCAGGCTCCTGAGTAGCTGGGACTACAATCTTGTGCCACCATGTCCATCTTATTTTTATTTTTTTTTTTGTTTTAATTTTTTGTAGACAAGGTCTCACTATATTGCCCAGGCTGATCCTGGACTCCTGGACTCCTGGACTCCTGGACTCCTGGACTCAAGTGATTCTCCCACCTTGGCCTCCTAAAGTGCTGGGATTACAAGCATAAGCCACTGCACCTGTTTTTATTATTCTTAGCTGACCTAATAGATAGCAGTTTGTCCAATAATAGCAATAATTATTCAATTATGTATGCTTATTCATATATCATATATATTTATGTTTATATATATGTGAAATGAAATGAATGACAGCAATGATACAAGGGATGGGAGGAAGGAATTAAGGTTTTGTTATTATAAAACAATCACACTACCTGTGAAGTGGTACAGTGTTATTTGGAAGTGGACTTGAATTGATTGTAAATATATATTGTAATCTAAGGCAATTTTTTAAAAAAGTATAACTGATATGCTAAAAAAAGGAGAAAACAGAATCATAAAATGCTCAGTTGAAAATAAAGATAGATACAAAAAACCAGGGCAAAAAGTAGAAAACAGAAACAAATATGGTAGATATTAATCTAGCTATATCAGTAATCACTTTGAACATAGGCTAAATGTACCAATTAAAAGACAGAGATTTTTGGAGTGGACCAAAAATCAAAACCCAACTATATGTTGTCTAAAAGAAACCCAATCTAAATCTAAAAACATATTGGTTAAAAGTAGATGGATGGAGGAAATATAGCATGGTAATACTAATCAAAAGAAAGCAGGAGTGGCTATATTATTTTAGAACAGACTTCAAATCAAGGAGAGTTGTCAGAAATAAAGAGCATTACATAATAATAGGGGGGTCAATTCTTCAAGAAGACATAAGAATTTTTAATATGTATACACCTAAAAATAGTTGTCAAATTCATGAGACAAAAACTAATAGAATTGCAAGAAGACATAAATGAATCCATTATCATACTTGAAGACTTCAGTACTGACCTATCAGAAATGAACAGATCCAGCAGACAGAAAATCAGTAAAGGCATAGTTGAACTCAACAGCACCATCTGTCAGATGGATATAGTTGATATCTACAGACTAATTCATCCAACAGCAGTAGAATGCACATTCTTCTCAAGCTCACATGGAACATTGACCAAGACAGACCATGTTCTGGGCCATAAAACACACCTTAACAAATAGGATAGAAATCATACAATGCCTGCTCTCAGATTACAATGGGATTAAAGTAGAAATGAATAAGAGAAAGATAAGTGGAAAATCCCCAAATACATGGGGACTAAATAATATGCATCTAGATAACACATGGGACAAGTCAGAGGACTGTCACTACCCAACTTCAAGATTTACAATAAAGCCAAGTCATCAAGACAGTGTGTTATTGACAAAAGAATAGACAAATAGATTAATAGGACACAAAAGAGAGCCCAGGAATAGACCCATATAAATACAGTCAACTTATCTGTGACAAAGAAACAAAAGCAATACAATGGAGCAGATTGTCTTTTAAACAAACATTGCTAGAACAACTGGACATCCACATGCAAAAAATAAAAAAATAAATGAACCTAGACACAGACCTTACATCTTTCAAAAAAATTAACTTAAAATGAATCATAGACCTAAATATGAAGTGCAAAACCGTAGAACTCCTAGAAGATAACATAGGGCAAAACTTAGATGATCTTGGGTATAGAAAAGACTTTAGATGAAACACCAAAGGCATAATCCAAGCAAGAAATAATAAGATGGACTTCATTAAAATTTAAAACTTCTGCTCTGTGAAAAACAATGTCAAGAGAATGAGAAGACAAGCCACAGACTGGAAAAAAATATTTGCAAAAGACACTGTCATGCAAAATATACAAATAACTCTTAAAACTTAACACTAAGAAAAGAAAAACTCAATTTAAAAATGAGCCAAAGCCCTTTATATAAAAATGAGCCAAAGCCCATCAAAACACGACAAGCATATTAAAAGGTGCTCTCCATTATATATCATCAGGAAAATGCAAATTAAAACAATGAGATAACAATGCACACATCTATTAGAATGATCAAAATCTAAAATACAACAACAAATGCTGACAATAACATGGAGCAACAAGAATTCTCACTCATTGCTCTTGGGAATGCAACATGGTACAGCCCCTTTGAAAGACAGTCTGGCAGTTTCTCACAAAACTAAACATCCACTTACATACAATCTAGCAGTTATGTCCCTGTGTATTTACCCAAGTGAATTAAAAACTTACATCCAATTTTTTAAAACCTGCACACAGATATTTAAAGCAGCTTTATTCATCATTGCCAAAACTTGGAAGCAACCAAGACATTTTTCAGTGGGTGAATAGATTAAAAAAAAAAACAAACAAACCTGTGGTACATCTGGATAATGGAATATTATTCAGAACTAAAAAGAAATGAGCTATCAAGCCACAAAAAGACATGGAGGAACATTAAATGCATATTGCTAAGTGAAGGAAGCCAATCTGAAAAGGCTTACACTGTATGATTCCGACTATATTACATTCTGGAACTGGCAAAACTATGAAGATAGTGGAAAGATCAGTGGTTTCCAGAGTTTGGGATTGGGGGTAGGGGTGAATAGGCAGAATAAAGGGGAGTGAAAATACTGTATATGACTGCAATGATAAATACATGTCATTTTACATTTGTCCAAACTACTATATGACTGCAATGATAAATACATGTCATTTTACATTTGTCCAAACTCATAGAATGTACAACACCAAGAAAGAACTCTAATGTAAACTATGAACCTTGGTTGATTTTGATGTGTCAATGAAAGTTCAATTGTAACTCAAGTACCACTCTGGTGGGGGATGTTGACAATAGGAGAGCCTATCCAAGTGTGAAGTTAGAGAGTATGTGGGACATCTCTGTCTGATATGGTTAGGCTTTGTGTCCCCACCCAAATCTCATCTTGAATTGTAATCCCTACGTGTTGAGGGAGAGGCCTGGTGGGAGGTGATTGGATCCTGAGAGCAGTTTTCCTCATTCTGTTTTCATGATGGTGAGGGATTTCTCACAAGATCTGAGAGTATTATAAATGGTGGTTTCCCCTAGTCCCCTGGGCTTCTCTCTCTCTCTCTCCTGCCGTCATGTAAGACATGCCTGCTTCCCCTTCTGCCATGATTTTAAGTTTCCCGAGGGCTCCCAGCCATGCAGAGCTGTGAGTCAATTAAACCTCTTTCCTTTATAATGACCCAGTCCGGGATAGTATCTTCATAGCAGTGTAAGAATAAACTAATACATTGTCCCTCCTTCTTAATTTACTGTGAACCCGCAACTGCTCTAAAAAATCATCTTTTAAAAAAATTCTTACTGTACCATTTACCTCCTCCCTGGTAGCATTTACCCAAATGGTAAATTTACATTGATTTGTGTAATTATTTGATTAATGTGTATCTTCCCCACTAAACAGTAAATTCCAAGATTTTTGTTCACCATAAATTAACTAGTGCTCAGCATATAGCAAGGTTTCAAAATTACTTGAATGACTATATATAAATTTACAAATATAGCAAATGTTTTTAAATTCATTAAACCATTATCTTCAATGCTTCTTTCATGATGATTTTCAGAGGAAAAGATAGGAGTGATGCAGGGGAAGAGAAAGAAGTATCTGTTCGTATTTGTTTCCTGCGGTCATTTGGTTAAAGCCTAAGCAACATCTCTGTTGTAGTGGTTTGATAATAATAAGAGTTTGCATTCCTGCAGCACTTTTCTTCCAAAGTGCTCCTATGGTTTGCAGACAGATCTCAGCCTCACTTTGGGGTGACTCTTCTACAAACGATGCTAAAAACAGATCTTGTCTTGCTAGTAACCAAGCGTAATGAGTTTTCTCTGAGAAGGTGCCAGGTCCCCTTCCAAAGTACTTACCCTGTATCTTTTTATGATCATCTCATTTTCTTAATACAACCACATGACGTCAAAGGCAATAAAAGCAACCATCTTTGCAGGAACTCTCAAAAGGAGCCATTTAGGGTCTCTGCACCTCTTTTCTCTAGGTAGGCAAAAGGGTTGTGATCCATCCCAGTGGGTGGGGTGGGAATGCTTGTTTTTACCTAACCTTTATTGAGCACTTACTTTGTGCTAGTCCCTTTATTGATCACTTACTTTGCGCTGTCTATGCATCACCTGGTTTAATCAAAACCAGAAAAGGGTCTCTGGGCGTCCAGCGTGGGTCTGATGTGATTACCAGCTGGTTGTCAAGGCAACTTAGCCACTTGCAGGCCAGGCCTGAGCCAGGGAATAGGGAAGTGGGTCTCCCCGCTTCCCCTGCAAGCAGGTGAAGGTTCAGTCTCCAGGGCCACCCCCCACTACCCAACACGCTTACCCTCCTGGCTCAGCGAGGGCAGAGTGGGCAGCACCTGCCTGTCCAGGTCCTGCAGGGCACGGGCGATCGTATCCAACATCTCCAATTTCCAGGTGACTCCGTACTGAATCTTCGATGGGTCTCTTCTCTCCTATATGGAGTGTATACAAAAATGATTCTCCCACCCTCCAGCCCCTTCTCCACGGAGCTTTGGATGTGCCTTAAAAATCAGAATGACGAAAATCCTGAATCTGTTGACTCTTTTTTCCTCTTTCTTAAATAAACTTAAACATTCTTTCTCGCCGTCCCTCCCCACTGCCCTGGCTCTCGGGCAGCTCCCACCACAGGAGCCGCAGGAACTGCTGTCCGGCACTGAGTGAGAGTGTGCAGGCCCGCGCCCTCCGGACCAGGGAGAGACCCAGTGAGGGGTGAGCTGCAGCCTCGAGGAAGGGAGGGGCACCAGGGAGAATGGGCCCGACAGGAAAGGGCGGGGCGCGTTGCTGGGACGCGAGAAAGACTCGCTCGGTTGCTAAGGCGTCAAGGCTGGGATTCGACCTCACCCCCTTAGATGGGCAGCTTCCAGGTTGCCTAGGTGATTCGGAAGCTCGAGGAAGCAAGGTTGGAAGTAACTTAAAGATAAATAAATAATTGGGTTTTACTTATCTGACCCCGGGCAGCGAAGAAACCTGGTTAGAGTGGTAGTTTTTGTACCTTGGACAAATCTAGGAATGCCTTTTGCCCAGAGCGATGGATATTTGAGTCTCCAGATCTGTTTGAGAGTTTGAGCTCGAATTTATTTCTTTGTTTACTTTTCCCTGGGCTCTCTTCCTAGGAAATGGAGAGTTGGAGAAGTGCGGAGGAGGGAATTGACTTTTTTTAAACTACAGTCATTTCTCCCTTTTTTCTACATGTTACCAATCTCATCCTGAAGAACTGTGTGCATACTCTCCCCTCTGCTGATAATTATCACAAGCTGAAGATACCTATGCAAAACCCATCCAAGTCAAAAAATAGAATGCTAGCACATTGCACAGATCAGCACCTCATTACCCCTCCAGTCATTAGCCAACACATACTGCAGATTCATTTTTCCTGTTGATTCTTTGGAATCATATATTATGTATTCCTTTGTGTCTGGCTCTATTCAAATTCACATTATGTTCATGAGGTTCATCCGTAGTTTCTGTGGTAATAATTTCTTCATTTACACTGTTGTGTATTATTCCTTTTTATGAGTATGGCACAATTTATGCATTCCACTGTTGAAGGGCATTTGTGTTGTTTCCCTTTGAGGCTACTGGGAATAATGCTGCTGCAAACATTCTCATAGAACACTTTTGACAGATACATGTACTCATTTCTGATGTGTATATAGGGGTAGATTCATGGGTCATGAGAAATGCATGTGATCAATTTTAATAGATAATGCCAGCTAATTTTTAGTGGCAATATCAGCATTATTGTTCCATATTAAGATAATGGAATTATAAAAATAATTGTTTTACAATGCATTCGATTTTGAATTAAATATAGTGATACTTTTAATCTGTAGAAAAGCTGTCTTCAGTTCCAGGAGATGGTGGTGGATGCTAATTATCAGTGAATTGCAGATGGCTAAAGGAAGCTCTAAAAGAATAAGGACAAATTTGTCGACTTTTCTTCCAAGGTCTTATTTTCCTTTTGTCAAAGGTCTCTTGACAAACGAGGCGGTGTAGATATGTGTAACCCTGTGTTGATTAGAAACTTTTAATGAGCTATAAATATTATATATCCTGAAAATACATACTTTTCAGTTGTTAACAAAACTCAGGCAAACCATGTACTTCCACCACTACAAATTTACTCCTTGGCTATATTGGCATGATACATGCAAAGATATATGTATATGCAACATTGTTTATAATGTTAATTCTTAGAATCAGCCTAAGATGACCATCATAGGGAACTGGTTAAATTGTGACTACATACATTGGAATACATTTCAAGAGTTTACTTAAAAGAAAACTGCACATTTATGTGCTGATGTTGAAAAAGTTTCAAAATATCATAAGTAAAAACCAGTAGCAGCATAGTATTTTTATGTAATGTAATCCTGTTTCCTTCAAATATAAGCATATAAGTGTGCATACATATTCGTATATATTTTTGTAAATATATGGAATATTTGAGGAAAGATACATTCAAAAAATATCAACAGTGAAATTTTGAATCACACAAAATTGTATATGGCAGAGGAGGCATTTCAAGAACTTTTATATTCACTTTTCTCCTTTATTTACTGTTTAACAAGAGCATGAATTACTTTATAATATTTAAGATAATTTATCAAAGAGAGGAAGAGAGAGAGGTACAGGTAGAGTGTAGGAATTTATGCAAACATTGAAGGAAACAAACAGGGCCAAAATTTTCCCAAGTATTTCAATGTACATTTACTTTTCTGCAAGCTCCAACTTGCCTTGCAAAACCCACACTGAATGGGCGGTCATTTTTACCGAAGCCCCAAGGCACACACAATATTAAGTGGTTTATGTTAAAGGCAACTTGGAAAACTACTGAAAAAGAAAGCATAATACTCATTTTACAACACCAGAATAGAAATTTGCAATAAATAATTTAACCCACATCTATATGGAGTACTTAATTTGTGCCAAGCACTTTGCTAGTTGCTAAAAGGAATACAGACACTTACCAGAAAATCCCTACAGATAAGAGGTTCACAATTCATTTTTCACCATTTTAACAAATATTTATTGCAGGAGGTTCTAAAATCAGGATTGGGTTTCAAAGTCAAAGTGTAAATTGAAAATTGGATGTGGGAAAACTACTCTAGAAATCCCTTCTTAAGAGGGGACCATATCAGAGACCCACATATGCCATCTCTCAGTTTATAGACCCAATGCAAACAGTCTTTCTCCCCTCACACTGGTGCAGATCACTTTCTTCAGGAGAGGTGTAATGAAACAGTTGGCTAGAGTTTAGGAAAGCAGTCTTATTCTAAAAATTCAACCAAATAGAATTAATTGTATGTACTCAACATTGTGCCATGCTAACACTATGATACGCACTCATGAACTGAGACAGATTGAAAATATAGCAGATGTATATCTTCTGTCCCTTGCTTACTCAAGGATTTATGCAGAAACAGACTTGCAGTAGCTTCATAGAGTGTCGACTTAGCTAAGATAGAACTACATTTTCCAGAATTCCCTTTCCTGTATGATTCTAGGTTAGGGTTAGTCAAAAGAGAATGTGCGTGAGATTTGGAAGGCAGAAGTAAAGCAGCAGCCATTTGATCTGAAGCCCTAAAGGTCATCATGGGGCTAGGCCCTGATCTGCTGGCTCACCATGTAGGCATGGGCCAGCAGCCTGGCCTGCAGCTCTGCAACTCCTGCCAGATCTCCTCATTGTGCTTCTCTCAATCTTAGACCAGGTACATGTGCAGCAGTGTTGCCAAAGGGACTGCCTAATCCTGTAAGTCCCTCACATCACTGAGGTTGGATGCAAGGAAATACAGATGTAGGCTGCAATTTGTCCTCACAGGATCTAGTTTGCCTGTGTGTAACCGCCCAATGAGTTCTTCTTGCTTACTGGAATGAAACCAATTTATCAAGATGGGGGAGTTGCGATAGAGAAAGAGTTTAATACAGGTAGAGCTGGCTAAATGGAAGACTAGAGTCTTCTTATTACTCAGATCAGCCTCCTTGAAAATTCAAAGGCTAGGGTTTTATAGTTTGGTGGGAAAGGAGCTAGGGAATGGGGAGTGCTGATAGTTTGGGTCAGGGATGAAAACATAGGAAGTTGAAGCTGTCCTTTTGTGCTGAGTCAGTTCCTGGTGGAGGCCACAAGACCAGATGAGCCGGTTTTTCAGTCTGGGATGTGCCAGCTAATCCCTCAGAATGCTGGGTCAGAAAAATCGCTCAAACATCAATCTTAGGTTTTACAATAGTAATGTTATCTATAGGGGCAATTGGGGAGGTTAGCAATCTTGTGGCCTCTGGCTACATGACTCCTAGGCCATGGTTTCTGAGCTTGTGGCTAATTTGTTGGTTTTACAAAGGCCAATCTGGTCCCCATGAAAGGAGGAAGTTTGTTTCAGGGAGGGACTGTTACCGTCTTTGTTTCAAAGTTAAACTATAAATTCCTCCCATGTTAGTTAGTTCAGCCTATGCCCGGGAACGAACAAGGGCAGCTTGGAGGTTAGAAGCAAGATGGAGTTAATTAGGACAGATTTCTTTTACTGCCATAATTTTACTATGTCAGATTTTTCTCACTGTCATAATTTTTGCAAAGGCAATTTCACTTGTGGGTTCCAGATTGTTCTCACCAGTTCCAATCTTTCCTTATTCTTCCCCATTTCATGACCATCTTTTCTTCCTATTAGCCTTGCTGGCTTTAGGCCTTCCACCAGACACAGAGGCCAACACCAGACAGAGATGACTTAATCAGCTCCTACAACTATGTAAGGGCTAGTGCTCATAATCAATTTTATATTTTCTATCACTCTGACAGGTCCTGCTTCTCTGATTGAACCTGAATGATACAGGACTGGTAGTTAAAACTGAACTATTTCAATTTAAAGTATTCTCTTTAAGTTTTACTTAGACTTGAATCCACATAAATTATGTGTTTGTGCACTGCAACTGTATTGTAAAGATTTGTTACCTTAGTCTGTTTTGTGTTGCAAAGGACTACCTGAGAGACTGAGTAATTTATAAAGACAACATATTTATTTGGTTCACAATTAAGAATGGCTGGAAGGTTCAAGATTGGGTATCTGCATCTGGTGAGGGCCTCAGGCTACTTCCACTCATGGCACAAGGCCAAGGCAAAAGGGAGCCAGCTGTGTAGAGATCACTTGGTGACAGAGGAAACAAAAGACAGGTAAGGGAGATGCCAGCCTCTTTTTAACAGCCAGCTCTGAGGAATTAATAGAGTGAGCACTCCCTACCTAGGGAGGTCATATATCTATTCATGGGTTTCGCTCCCATGACCAAAACATCTGCCGTTAAGCCTCATCTCCAACATTGGGGATCAAATTTCAACATGAGGTTTGGAGGGGACAAATATCCAAACCATAGCGTATGTTTAATGTCATGTTTGAGACACGAAGACAGTGTAATGGGAATTCAAGGGGAGGAAATTTATATCTCTATTAGGCCATTCTTGCATTGCTATAAAGAAATACCTGAGACTGGGAAATTTATTTTAAAAAGAGGTTTAATTGGCTTATGGTTCTGCAGCTGTACAAGCATGGTGCTGGCCTCTGTCCAGCTTCTGGGGATGCCTCAGGGAGCTTTTACTCATAGAGAAGGCAAAGCAAGAGTAGGCTCATCACATGGTGAAAGCAGGAGCAAGAGAGAGAGTGGGTGGGGGAAGGTGCCACACACTTAAACAGCCAGATCTCACAAGAACTCATTCACTATTTTGAGGATAGCACCAAGTTATGAGGGATCCACCCCCATGATCCAAATGCTCCCTGCCAGGCCCCACCTACATGCAACATGGGGATTACAATTCGACATGAGATTTGGCGGGGACAAATATTCAAACTGTATCAACTTCTAACTGGGATGATTAGCCTGAATGCTAAACAAAGAAGCTTGAATTTTATTTGGAAGGTATGGATAGTTCCTGAAGGCCTTGAATAAGAAAATGACCTAATCACCACTATATTCTTCTGTATTATATTAAAAAGAAGCTTGAATTTCATTATATAAGTAATCCATATGTCAGATAACAACTAATCAGAGAAATTTCTCAGAGAGATAGGGGAAAGCTACCAAATAACTAAAAGGATAACCACAGAAAGACTGGCTACGGAATGATCAATGTGATTGAGTGATAGCCATTTAGAAGCTTTTGACAGATAAAACTGCAAAGATGCATACATTTTCTTACAACGTAAATGAAAAAAGGTAAATTAGCTAAAGTGATAAATGAGATTACCTTGAAATTAAGCTGTGGAATGGTCTCCCAAAGAAAAAATATAGAAAACTCATCAAGTCAGGCTATTTGAAAATAGACCATTTCAAGTAGGAGTTAACACACTATCGTTATTCTACCTGGACTCTTTGCAGAATAAAAGTCATACAGTCGGGCTTTCTCATGTTTAGTAGATGTTATCTCAATGAATAATAAATATGATAATGATACCCATGCATATAACATTATCTATTTATGAATAGAAGAGAAAGTTAATATTTAAACTGTACTCATCTGACCTACACCTTTTATAAACACTTTGCAGCTTTTTTCCATTTCACTTAAACTAAAGTGAGGAATTCGGCATTTGGAAATCTGAGCTCAAGTCTAGTATTAACATAAATAGGTTTGTGTTTATAACTGAATAAAATCTTAATATTTCTGAGCCTGCTTGTTGTTAAAGTAGTAATAATGACTATAAATGTTAACAAGTGTATCCCAGTAAACTTAAAGAAATAATGATAAAAGTAAAAATAGGAAAAAAGGCTCTTTGGAGCCCCAAAATTCTAAGCCTGCAGATACTTGCCCCATTTTACCATAAGATTATACCACTTTACGTAGGCAAAACCAAGTGTATATTCTATAAACAAAAGAATGCCTCTTGACTTAAAATGGAGACTACTGATAAATAAATATATTTTGAAAAATTGTAAAATAAGTGACTTTAGGCAATGTATGGTAAGTTGGTCAGCCAGTTCACTTCACACAATATACAAAAATTAACTTAAGATAGGTCATAGACCTAAATCTAAAAGATATAAAAGTTCTAGAATAAAACATAAGAGAAAAATTTTGTGATCTTGAGGTTAAGCAAATATTTAAGACACAAAGCATGAATGATAAAGTTGGACTTTATCAAAATTCAAAACTTTTGCTCTTTAAAGGCATCATTAAAAAATGAAAAGTCACAAAATCGTAGAAAATATTCACACTACAAATACCTGACAACTGATATACAAAATGTATTTTTAAAATCTCCCAAAGCTCAGTAATAAGAAAATAATTCAATTTCTTTAATGGACAAAATATTTGAACATACATTTTACAAAAGCAGATATGTAAATGGCCAGTAAGGAGATGGAAAGGTTTTCAAGATGGTTAGTCATTAGGAAAACACATATTAAAACCACAATGAGACAGCACTACATTAGGATGGCTACAATTAAAAAGACTGATAATACCAAATGTTAGTGAAGATGTGGAACAATTGGAGCTTATACTCAAGGTGTGAATGTAAAGTAGTTCAAAAAACTGGCAGTTTCTTATAAAGTTAAACATACACCTACCATATGACCAGCCATTCTAGTTCTAAGCATTCAACCTATAGAGATAAAAAATATGTGTTCACACAAAGTGTTAAATGCAAATATTCATAGCAGCCTTATTCACAGCAGCCAAAAATGTAAAACAGCCCATGTGTCTATCAAATGGAAAATGGATAAACAAGTAATAGTATATCCATACAAAGTAACACTACTTAGTAATAAAAAGAAATGAACTACTGACATAGGTAACATGGATGAACCTCAGAATCATCATGCTGGCTGATAGAAACAAGACAGAAAGAATACATACTGTGTGGTTTCATTTATATAAATTCTAGAAAATGCAAACTAATTTATAGTGAGTCCAGCAAATCAGTGATTGGCTGGGGCCAGGATCAGAAGGAGAAATGAACTGCCAAGGGGGCATGGGAAATATTTTGGGGTAATGGATATATTCTGTATCTTGAATGTGGTAGTGATTTCACAGGAGCCTACAGTTGTAAAAATTCGTCAAAGTGTGCACTCGAAATGGATACAGCTTATTGTATGTATCTTGATGAAGATTTTTTTTTAAAAGAAGCAACCCAGAATTCTAGGAAAGTAAACTTAAAAGCTTAATAAAGGCAAACTTAAATAAAATTTAGTTAATTCATAAGTTGACTAAAAAGTAAAGAACTTACTTGAGGATTTTAACAGTAGACAGAAAACAACATAAGACAAATGAACTTAATGAAATTATCCAAATTGAACCTCAAAAAGGAAAAAGGTAAAAACCTCACACAGTAAGAAATGTGAAATATATGAAGTTCCAGGAAGAGAAGAAAGACAGAATAAGAAAGAAGTAATCATTTGGGAAAAATGTATGATAATTTTCCAAATTGATGAAAAGTATTAACAAAATCTTCAAGAAGCTTAGCAAGTCCCAAATAGGATAAATACAATGGAAATGACACGTAGGTACATAAGAGTCAAACTTATTAAACCAAATATTAAAAAAAAAACCTTTAAAGCTGCTAGAGAAAAAAAAGACAATCACAAGAAATGCCACTGACATCATAATTAAAACATCAAAGTGCAACACTGTATGTAATGATAACTTTAAAGTGCTGAAAGAAAAAACTGCCAAACTTGTACTTTATACTCAGGAAAAATATTTTTCAAAGTCAAGAACAAAGTTTTAAAACTTTATCAGGCAAATAAAATATAAGAAAAAAGCAGAGGATGTTTTCGGATTGAAGGAAGATGATCCCAGATAGAATATGAAAGTGGAATAAAGAATGAACAGCTCTAGGGAGGTTAAATTAATAGATAAAAATAAAACAAAATTGGCTATTGAAAGCAATAATAATAACTATATCATCCAAGGTTTTAACATGTAAAAATAAAATATATAACAAGAAAATCAGAGTAAGGCATCAGGCAACAAAGGAATCGCTGAGAGATGGGAAGCACATGAGGTAAACCCTACAATTGCCCCAGCTTACTGCCTGGAGAAAATTTTCAGGCTGCAATGCAGGGATGGGAGAAAACCACAAACCCACAGAGAGAGACAGAAAGTTCCAGAGATCTTCAGAGGGTCCCCTAAAGTATTCAGTTGAGGACTGATTTGTACATGCATGTGAGAAAGCTACCCATGGCCAGAGAAAAGAACTATCCAGAAGAATCAAAGGAAACAGTTTCCATAGATCACAGAGATCCAGGAAAACACCTTTTCCCAACAGCCAAAATAGAAAACCTCATAATTCATGGGGTGTTGGAGAGGAGTACAAAGAATGGTCTTGGCTCAGTAGGGGGGAAAGTTAACCTTAGACTAAACACTGCTTCATTTCTTCCCAATAAAGCTAGAAGGAAGACCTAAAACTTCATTTTAGCCAACCTGTTTTAAAGTAACTTGACTGCATCCCGAAAGCAAGTTCAGTAATATTTACAGGAATACAAAAGTATCAAGAACCAAACAAGGTAAAATTCATAATGTATGACATCCCCCAAAAAATTACCAGGCATGCAAGGAAGCAAGAAAGTATGATCCATAATGAGGAAAGAGAAAATCATTCAATTTAAACATGACCAAGAAATGACACAAATAATAGAATTAGTAGACAAGAACACTAAAACAGTTATCGTATTAGTAGTTAATATGTTCAAGAAGCAAAAATAAAATATTAAACATGTTAACTGGCAACACTGGAGATACTAAAAACAAAGAACTTCCAGACATTAAAACCACAATGCCTGAGATGAAAAGAATACATTGGATGGGATTAGTGTCAGAAGAAAGGTTGGTGAACTTGAAGACGTAGTAAAAAAAAAATCCGTAATGAACTACAGAGAGAAAAACTACTGAAAAAAAAGAACAGAATATCAATTAGCTGTGGGACAGCTTATAAGGAAACAAATATAGGCCAAGTGCGGTGGCTCACACCTATAATCCCAACACTTTGGGAGGCCAAGGTGGGTGGATCACAAGATCAGGAGTTTGAGACTAGCCTTGCCAACATGGTGAAACCCCATCTCTACTAAAAATACAAAAATTAGCCGAGTGTTGTGCGTGTCTGTAATCCCAGCTACTTGGGAGACTGAGGCAGGAGAATCGCTTGAACCTGGGAGGTGGAAGTTGCAGTGAGCCAAGATCACACCATTGCACTCCAGCCTGGGCAATAGAGTGAGACTCCATCTCAAAAAAAAAAAAAGAAGACAAATATATATACAATTCAAGTCCCTGCATAAGGAGAGAAACTTGCAGACAGAAAAATAGTTTAAAGAGATAATTACCAAAATTTTTCCAAGATAGATGGTGATAAATATGTATATTATGAACCCTGTAGTTAACAACTAAATACAACAAAGACTTACAGCAAATAAGCCGACAAAGAAGATAAAATGAAGTCATAAAAATATACTCAGTTTAAAACAAGACAGAAAAAGAGAACAAAGAGAACAAAAACCAGATAAGACAAATAAAAAACAAATAGCAAGATGGTAGATTTAAACCTAATCATATCAATGTTAATGATATATAAATTCCCTAAATGTAATATAAATTGTCCCATAAATGGTTTAAATACCCCAACTAAAAGTCAGAAGTTGTTGAATTGGTTAAAATGCGTAACATAACTATATACTGCCTACAAGAAATATATTTTAAATATAAATAAATGGATGAAAACTCAAGGGGTGATAACAAATATACCATGCTGACCTTGACCAACAGAAAACTGGAGCAGGCCAACTCATCCATTACTGACTGCGGCGCCACAAACCTCGGACACGCCACTGCTCCCTTCTGACACCTGCCCGCCTACCCTCTCTCCCTCACCCTCTACTGCAACATAGCGCTGTCTGGAAGCTTTCTGTTCCAGGGCGAACGAGGCAACGGAGGAAGAAATAAGGATATTCAGTTAGGAAAAGAGAAGCCCAAATTCGTCCCCGGTTTCGCAGATGACATGATTGCGGCTATCAGTTCTCAGACAACCCCATCTCGCTCTACCCACACAATGCCCTCCGTTAAAGCTCAAGCAACCTCTCTGACGCCGCACACTCTCCGCGAACCGCCACAAACACCATGTGCACAAGCACACAAGCATGTCCTATATCCAGGCCCAATAACGAAACAGAGAGCCAAATCATGAGTAACTACCATTCCCAACTCTCCCGCTTCAAAGAGAATAAAATACCTTAGCGAATCCAACTTATCAAAGATGTGACGCAGCACCCTCTTCAAGGAGAACTACAAACACTGCTCCAATGAAATAAAAGAGGACACACAGAACAAATGGAAAAACATTCTTACTCCCTTCTGCGATACGGAAAGAATTAATATCATGAAAATCGGCCGTCATTCCAAGTGTACATCTTAGAGAGTGCTGCAAATGCCATTGCCCATCCAAGCGCACCGGAACTGAGTTCTTTCACAGAACTCGGAAAACACACTTCTAAAGTTATCATCGCGCACACCAAAAAAAGCGAGCCGGCATTTGCAAGACAATCCTAAGCAAAAAAGAACAATCGAGCTGGAGGCATCACGCTACCTGACTTCAAATATACTACAAGGAAACAGCACGGTACTGGTACTCAAAAACAGAGATACAGACAAATGAAGCAGAACGAGCCCTCAGCACACCATACAGTACCCACACAATCTACAACTAATCGATCTTTGACAAACATTCACAAAAACAAACAATGCGAAAAGCGCTTCCCTATTTAAAAATGGTCGCTCGGGCGAAACTGGCTCAGCTCATATATCACGCTCGAAACGCCTGACACCTGGATCCCTTCCCCTTACACCCTGTCATACAAAATTAATTTCAGATGGATTAAGAGACTTAAATGCTAGGACTAAAAACATAAAAACCCTAGAAGAAAACCTAGGCAAGTACATTCAGCGACATTAGGCATAGGCAACGGAACTCATGACTAAAAACACTAAAACATGGCACACAAAGCAAAATTGGCCATAATGGATCTAATTAAATAAAGAGCCTTCTGCACAACAAAGAAACCTACCATCCAGACGGTGAACACCGCGACCCTTACACGAATGGAGAAAAGTTTTGGCATCTACCCATCTGACAGAAGGGCTAATATCCAGAACCTACAAGAACTTCAAACAATTTACAAGAAAAAAAAACACCCCAGTCAACAACGTGGGCAAAGATATGAACAACATTTCCTCAAACAGAAGACATTCTCACGCAGCAACGACACAGCAAACGATGCTCATCATCACTGGTCATGCAGAGGAAATTGCAAATCAAAACACAATGGCATACCCAACATTCTCACACAGTTAGAAGGCGATCATGAAAAAGTCAGGAAACAACAGTGTGGCTGGAAGGATCTGTGTCAGAAATTAGGAACACTTTCCTACACTGGTTGTGGGATCTGAAACCTAGGTTCAACCCATCTGTGAAAACAGTGTGACTGCATTGTCTGCAAGATCTACGAACTAGAAATACCATTTGACCCACCAGCTGATCCCATTATCGGAGTTATATACCCCCAAAGGATATAGAATCGTGCTACTATAAAGACACATGCACATGTATTCCGCTTTTATTGCAGCACATTCACATAGCAAAGCCTTAACCAACCCAAATGTCCCATCAATGATCAGATGAGGATTAGAAAATGTGGGCACATATACACCATGGAATATCTATAGCAGCCATAAAAAGGACGAGTGTCATGTCCTTTGTAAGGACATGGATGAAGCTGGAAAACCATCATTCTGAAGCAAACTATTGTCCATAGGACAGAAAACAAAAACACTGCATGTTTCCTCACTCATCCAGTGGGAACTGAACATATGAGAACACTTGGAGCCAGGGTGGGGAACATCACACACGCGGGCCTGGGAGACGGGAGGGATAGAATTAGCAGAAATAACTATACGTAAATGAAGAGTTAATGTGCAGCACACCAACATGGGCACATGTATACATATCTAACAAACTTGCATTCGCGCACACTGTCCTAGAACTTAAATATAATAAAATAAAAACAAAAATCAACCCAACCTCCTCCAAACAAAACAAAACGTAGTCCTTTTCTCAGTTTTTGGACGGAGTCTTGTTCTGTCACCCAGGTGGAATGCTTGGTGTCACAATCGTTGCTCACTGCAACCCTCTGCCATCATCGGGCGTTCAAAGCGACTTCTCCTCGCCTCAGCTCCCAGTAGCTGGATTACAAGGCTTGACCACCATGATCAGGGCTAATTTTTGTATTTTTAGTGAGATGGGTTTCACATGTTGGTCTCTCCCTGAACCTCCAGTGATCCACCCTTTCGACTCCTCCAACAGTGCTGGATTACCGCGCCTTCGCTCTCTTTTCAACTTCGTCATCTTTCCTACTGGCTCACATCTTCCTTGGTCACGCTAAAAAGTATTATTCTACTCTAGAGCTCAATAAATTATTTAATAATAGTATCACGTCTTTGCCTTAAGAAGCTACACAAACTGTCAGTGTACAGTGCCTCAACACTGTTCAGCACACTTTGGGCACGCTCAGACACGCCTGCTCTTGCCAGCTCTTCGCGCTCTCTCCTCTCTTCGCTGAACTGGTGGTGCTGCCTGTATTCCAGTACTCACGGCAGCTGCAGGAGGAGATCATCGCTACAGGAGGAAGAGTTGAAGTGAGCTGAGATTATCGCCACCGCCTCCATCCTGGCGAACAGAGCAAGACTGTGTCCCCAAAAACAAAAAACAAACAAGAAAGTTAAAAACTCTCTTGTGCGCTGCTTCACACCTGCTACCGCCTTTGGGGGAGGCTGAGGCCAGGCGCGCATTGGAAGTCGCAGATCAAACCATCCTGGCCACCATGGTGAAACCCCGTCCTCCCACTAAAAATAACAAAAAATTAACGCTGGGCGTCCGTGGTCGGGCGCCCTGCCTCTCTTCCCCGCTCCTTGGCCAGGCTGAGGCGGCGAGAATTGCTTCGCGCACCGGGGAGGTGGCGGTTGGCAGTCCACTCGAACTCCGCCGGGCGACAGAGCAAGATTCACTCTCAAAAAAAAAAATTGTAATCCTCAAACTTATCTATATCAGATTTTACTTTTATTTTGAGCCTCAGTTACCTTACGCGAGACATAATGCTTTATAATTTTATGTGCTTTCTCTGCAAACCTGAAACCTCTTTTTTCGCTATTATGAAATGACACTCTTTATCTCTGGACTACAACTGTTTGCTCAATGAAGTCCTATGTGTCTGATATTAATATAGCACCT